AAACAGCCTACAGTATTTTTATAGTCTTTATTTTACAGTTAAAATATATGTTTATCAAATAAAGTCTAATGTTACAACTAATCATGGATCCCTTTTAAGTTACAAGCGACTTCAATTAAATATTTATTTTATATGTATTTCAGGTGGTTAAGCTACTTTTACGTTATGGAGGGGACCCACGTCAAAGCAACCGAAGAGGTGAAACGCCGCTGAAGGTTGCCAGCTCTCCAACTATGCTGAATCTGTTGCTGGGGAAAGGCACGTACACCTCAAGTGACGAGAGCTCATCAGGTTTGTGATACTTAATATTTTGAGTCACTTTATTAACTCACCATTATGAATTGTTGAATTGTGTTTTGATTGCGGCTGTGTCTGTGTTTCACAGAATCTTCTGAGGAGGAGGATGCCCCTTCGTTTGCCCCCTCGAGCTCTGTAGACGGCAATAACACAGACTCTGAGTTCGAGAAGGGTTTGAAGTTAAAAGGAAAACCCGCGGACCCTCCGAAATCTGTCGTCACACCCGTCAAAGATGAATATGAGTTCGATGAGGACGACGAGGAGGAGCGCGTGCCTCCTGTCGACGATAAACACCTCTTGAAAAAGGACTTCCGAAAGGACCCAGTTAGTAAAACCAACAGCTTCATCTCTATACCCAAGATGGAGGTAAAAACCTATTCCAAAAGCAACTCGCTCACACCAAAGAAAACTGTCAGGCGGATCATCTCTGACAGTAACAGTTCAGACGAGGATGACAGGACGTTGTGTTTCACGCCTGCGCCCACGCCACGGCAACAAGCCCAGCAAACAAACACCAAGACTAGAGACTCTGGCAGRATGAGCTCTAAACAACAAAAAGACAAAAATAAAGTGAAAAAGAAGCGAAAGAAGGAGAGCAAAAACAATGTCAGTAAAGAAGTTCGGTTTGGTAAAGTCAACGACAAATTCTGTACGTCTGACTCGGACAGCGCGGATCTAGAGAGCGAGGACGATAAGGGCTCGAACAATTTAAAGGACTCCTCGTCGATGAACCTTAAAGAATCCTCTCGCTTTAACGCGACCTCCTCTTCCTCGCACGGAAACTTAAACTCTCAGAAACAAACGCCGTCGRTGGCAGAGCAGCATCCGAAGCAGTGGAGGACAGATGGCTGGAAGACYGTGTCGTCTCCTACGTGGTCGGACGTCAGCTCTCTCTCGGATTCGGTCAGAACAAGACTGTCCAGTGAGTCCGAGTACTCGTCCGCCGATTCGAGTATCGAGTCAATAAAGCAAATCAAGAGAAAAGCGCAGGAGAACAAGAAGAAGAACAATGCGCACAGTAACACTGTAGACAAGAAAAATTCAGAGCTCTATAAAAACTCCACTGCAGAGAGCGCCATCTCCAAAACTGATGGAGATGGAAAAGTGATTAAGAAGCATAAAGTAAAGCACAAGCATAAAAGTAAGGAAAAGGACAATGCTCCCAGTCTGGTGCTTAATCAAGACATGAATGAAAAGTTTGTCAAGAGCTATTCTTTTGACTTTGATGATTCGCGGCAAAAAAATTTAATTGTTGAGTCTGAATCTGCGTCTGAGGGTAAAATCAAATTATCCAAACACGAGAAAGACCATTCGAAAAAGGACGATAGGCTTTCAAAAGCCAAGTCCGAGGATAAGGACTGGTCATCTGGAAAGGATCTGCACAGGACAGCAAAAGAAGAGAAAAATAAGAAAGCAAGGGACACCACCAAGGACAAGACAAATAAAGAGGAGAGGGACAAGAATATAAAATCTGACAAGGAAAGAAATTTCAAAGAGAAGGAGAAAGCCAAGGAAGATAAACAAAAGGCTCACAAAGAGGAGAAAAAGAAGAAGTCCAAGGAGAAATCCTCCTCTAAAGCAGACAGAAAAAGTGAGTTGAAGGAAGAGAAGCATCTCAAGGTGGACAAGGAGAAAACCATCAAGGAGGAGAAGGAGAAATACAAAAAAGACAAAGCACTGAAGGAAGAGCCTGAGCATGAAGGCTACGACGTTAACAATCGGTTTCTCAGCCTCGAGGACACGAAGCTCAGCGCGTCAGATGACCATCACGACAGGTGGGGCTCCGAGATGTCCTCCGATTCTTCCATCTGTGGAGACGATAGCTGGGACGCTCATGTCAAAGAGGTCAAGGAATATAAATCCCACAACACTGTTAAGCTAATTGTCGAGACCGTTAAAGAGGAGACGAGGAGGAAAGAAAACAAGGTCAAGGACAAGAGAGCAGAGCACAGTGACAAAAAATCAGAGAAAGAAGTCGGCTCTAAAAAGAAAGAAAAAGACTCTTCCGAAAAAACAAACGAAAAGAAAAAAGACTGGTCTGAAAAAACGAAACTGAACTCCAGCCACTCCGTTGAGAAAGACAAAAAGCGAAAGGAGTCCATGGAAACGGTCAAAGACAAAAAAGACAAGGATTCCTTGGACAGTAGTAGAGACCGTAAAGATTCATATGAAAGTGTGAAGGACAGAAAAGATCTGAAAATCAAGCAGGAGTCGATCGGAGACGAGTACGGCAACGACAGCTTCTTCAAAGACATAGATCCCGCTGGAAAACTTTGTGACATCAGAGAAAGAAATCACTCTGGAAAGGAGAAAGAAAAGAAAAGCGACGGAGTGGAAAAACGAGAAAAGACAAAAGTCGACAAATACAAAGAAAAAACTAAAGACAGAGGAGCTGATCATGAAAAGAGTGAGCGGAACTTCACAGAGAAAGCCYTCAGGGAAAAAGATGAAGACCGAGGCACCAAAGACAAGAAGGAAGGAGCCAAAGACAAACACAAAGACTCTCATGGCAAAGACAAGGACCGAAAGGTGTCTTCAGACTTGACAAAGGACAAGAAGGAGAAGGCCTCTCAAGATAAACATGCTGAGAGGGAAAAAGATTTCCTTGAGATAAAGAAAGAGGAGAAGAAAACAGAAAAAATCAGGGAAAAAACGTGGTACAAAATCGCCGACATATTCACAGATGAAAGCGACGACGACGAGGACAGCTACAACAGTGGCGTTGTGCTTGGGTCGGGCACCATCAGAAAAGACTTGACTCCTGATCAGGACGATCTGGATCACTTCCCTTCTGAAAAAATGAGAAAGTCTTCCGCTGAGGCTAAACATAACACGGAAAAAACAAAAGACAAGGATTACAAGGAGAAGAAGAAGGATAAGACGGCATTTGACATGGGAAAAGAGCGGAAAGGCTCCCTGGAGAAACACAACAAGGACAAGAAGGACTCAGTTGACTCAAAATACAAGGAGAGGAAAGACAGATCCTCGGTGGACTCGAACCAAGACAAGAAAAATAAGCAGAAGTTGCTGGACAAAAGGGACACGAGCGAAGAAAAGACGAAAAGCAAATATAAAGACAAGCAAGACCATTCTAAAGAACGGAAGCCCTCTAAAGGCTGTGGTGAGAATGAAAAGTCCCTTTTGGAAAAACTAGAGGAGGAAGCTATGAACGACTACAAGGATGACTCCAATGACAAGAACAGCGACATCTCCTCGGATAGCTTCACTGACCGAGGTCACGAGCCAATCCTCACCAGCTACTATGACTCCATCAACCTTAATGAAATCTCCGAGGACAGAAGAGACTCCCTGTCCATATCTACYCCACAGGACAGATTCAGAGATAAAGAACGGCATCGGCACTCCTCCTCGTCYTCATCCAAGAAGAGCCACGACAAGGAGAAAGAAAAAGTCAAAAAGGACAAAGGGGAGAAACGAGAGTCCTACAATCGCAGAGAAAGTCTACCTTTTGAGAAAGAGTCCATGCCCCTTGAGGCTGACCCTTACACATTTCCATTCGGGGGTAAAGGGGACGGCGAAGACGACTACGACAAAACATTGGAATTTGAGAAAGAGATGTCCAAAAAGGACAAAGAGAAAGCAACTGGCATCATTAGCGACAGGATGAAAGACAAAAAGAAGAAGGAGAAACATAAAGACAAACTGAAGGAGGAAAAGAATAAATACATGGATGGCTTTGGGTCATTTAAACACTCCAGAGACGATGTGAAGGCAGGCTTGAAAGATAGCCCCCAGTTCTCTGTTCTGAAAGACCGGTCAAAAGAGCAAAGTCCTAAATTTGATTTGAAAAAAGACAGAAGTCGAGACATGTTGGACAAAGACAACAGAATGGATCACAGTAAATCTAAGGTAAAGGATGAAAACGAAAAGCTCCCTCTGTCCAAAGACACAACACGGAAAGACAATCGTCCTCGTGAAAAACTTTTGGTGGATGATGATTGTCAGCTGACAAGTTTTGGTCAGATGTTAAGTCAAAAGGATCAGGAAATCGGAGTGAGATTAAAGAAACAAAAAGAAAAYATGAAGCAAATGGAAAGGCTGAGACCCAAAACAGGGGACCCTAAACTGAAAGACAAAGCCAAGTCAGCAGAGGAAGTACGAAAAAACCGCAGCGAGCTGTCATCGAAGAAATCCAACAACTTGGAGTCTGGTCTTAAGGAGAAGAAGCTGAAGGATGTGGGCCTCCCAACTCAGATGATGTCTCCAGGGAGGAAGTTCCAACCTAGTGATGGCCAGAACACAAAAGACTGGATGGCAGGACACCAAATGAAAGAGAACCTCCCAGCTTCTCCCAGACCAGATCAAAACAGACCGACAGGTGTCCCCACGCCAACATCTGTCATCTCCTGCCCCAGCTTTGAGGATGTAATGCAGACGCCGCGGACCCCGTCCTGCAGTCCAGAGGATTACCCTGAAATCATACTGGATGCGCTGGACTGCCAGAACTCCTCAGCCATGGCCATGTCAATGAACGCCTGCTCCCCATCAGTTTTTGAAAGGTAAGATTTTAATACCTTAAAGCAAACTTGGGTTACAGTTCAGGTAGAGCTGGGCGGTATGACCCAAATTTTATATTATGGTATTTTCAACAATTACACCGGTTTCACAGTATTTGACATCTTTTTTTTTTCATCACAGCTTAGCTGATGATAAAATGTACAAATGTTGCTTATTGACTTTTCTTTTATTGTACCTCTGTCTTGTGTCGCTGTTTCCTTCCTCTGTACTTGTTTTCTTCTTTGCCTGGTACAGTAGATGCCTGGTACAGTAGCAAGACAGTAATCATGCATTTTGGTCCGATGGTGAAGGGTTGAGAAAAGATCATTATCGGGTCTATCGTTGTGTGTTAATAAAACTTAAAAGGACGACTCACCTCGCACACCAGTCAACTCAGATCTACTYCAAAACTATTTCCCCCAGGCTTTTCACAACAAAAGCACATTAAAGTCGTCTCCATTATAACGTTAAATCTAACCATGCACGTCACTGAAGAGACYTTTACTACATTCAGCGATGGTGAAAACGGGCTGTTTTTTTTTTTACTTAAGCCAATATAAGCAGCTGAAACACCACCCGCCACCAGTTACTCCAACAATAACATTAGCATGCTAACGCACATAGCGGTGCTGCGAGGAAAAGTGTGACCCAGGAAATAGTTCACTGGTGGCCACGACGAAACGTTCCTAACYTGTTCATGCCATTTAAACCGGTATGTCCGGTATTCAGYAAATTCATATCATAACAAAAATAAAAAGTGGTTTTCGGTACTAAACCATATACCGCCCAGCACTAAGTTCAGGTTAATTTAAGGATATTGTACTGTATTCAACGTGACATTATTTAATTTTTTTCTTTTGTCTGTGTCCATCCAAGCAGGTACTCGAACTCCCAGAGTTTCCAGGAGGGTACCTGCCCTACTCCTGCAAAAAACCTGCAGCTGCCGCTCATCAGCCGTTCTGCATCACCAGACYCTCGCAGGCCTTTAGAGATGGAGTTCAAAGCCGAGTCCGACATGTCTTTTCGACAGCAGAGTGATCCAGTAGCTGATTTTGATCTGTCYTCTTCCCAGCCCTTGGAGGACAAATCAGTAACTTTGAATAGGTTGGAGAGTGTGCCGCACTATTTCCCTCCAATGAGGATGTTGTCTCCTCACCCTGATATACCCCATCTAACACCGGACGGGATGGCGACGACTCTCTGTGTCGCAGAGGACCTTCCTGAAAGCGTGTACAACAGTTTTCTTCCCAAACCTTCGACGCCAGTTCACAGACCGGATCCCCAGGAGCCGTGCTTTGACATTGCTGCACCACCAACCCCAGCCCCTGCCGCTTTGCTGCCCCTGGATATCGACGACATCTCCGAGCCGAACCACAGTGAGCCCAACTTGCCTGATCTTCCCTGTGACCAAAAAGAGCAGGAGGGAGACGAAGAGGAGGAGGAAGAGGAGGAAGAAGAAGAAGAGGAAGAGGAAGAGGAGGAGGAAGAAGCTGATATGGATGAGAGGACTGATGGTGATTGCTGTTCAGTGGAAGAGCCAGAACCAATAAGAAACTTCTGTCCTTTCTCCCCTCAAGTTGAGGACCCGCTGAGGAAGAGCTGGCCTCCGGAGTCTCCGAATCGACAGGAGGCAGAGGACCACCAGCTGTCTTCGGCACACAGTGAACTGAACCACGTAGAAAGCTGTTTTGTCGACAACATGGGTTGGAACACTGAAATGGACATCAAAGCTGCACGTGGGGAGATCGAGGCCGCCGTCTCTAAAATAACTAGTCCTTACTCTCATTCTGACAATGAAATGCAGCCCCCGTTGGTACACCCCGCTGTCTCTTATGACAACTGGCCCAGGTGGGACGAGCAGAAGGAAGCTGTGGAAGACATTCCTTCTCCTGAGAGGCCTGAGACGGCTATGGATGAGGAGGAACCTGACTATTTAAATACCTCATCCTCCTCTAATAGACTGGACTCTTTATTCCATGACTGCAGCAAACCTGTCATAGAAAACAGCCACCAAATGGACACAGACTGTGTAGAGACTGACAGCAGAATGAACACACAGAGCTTCACTACCCCTATGGATCACATTTCTCCAACTGGGGGACCTGCGCCTGTGGTCCCCTGGGCWGGTCAGTTCTCCACCGATGCAGATGAACTTGATGACCTGGGGCCATTTTCTTTACCTGACCTACCATTACCAGACAAGTCGGACGAAACCGACCCTCGAGACCCTGAACTAGCCGACCACAGCACAACTGTGTCCACCCACATTAGACACACCATCGGCAGAGATAAACCAGACATGATAGAAGTGGACCTACCAAGCCTGACGAAGACTCCGTGCCCTGCCGGAGACCTCGGTTTGGGGGAATCTACCGGACAAGACTTTGTTGTTCCGTCACCGCATACCACCTACCAYCAGGAGTTGGACCCCGAGCTTCAAAGTGTGCCCATCAACAGCTGTGTATCTCAAAATCCACAACACAACAGCATTTTAGATAGAACGTTAACATATGAAATGGACGAAGAGTCAGATCCCAGCTTGCTGTATTCACCTGTGAAACCAGACGCCAGTCAGCAACATCACATATCCCAGCTCCATTCCTGCACCGAGTCCATGCCGGTACCACTAGACCCGGTGTCTGCTGCCAAACCAGAAGTGAGGCACAAGGASGTGCTTGACACCAAAGCCGAATGCGTGTCGTGCAGTCCTCTTCCTCATCTCTCTGTGGCAGTCACTCTCTCCAGCACAGTGGAGCTTCCAGACGCTCAGGAATCCCCGTCAAAGCTAGTGCCCGTCCTCCCAACGACCGTGCCCATCATCGTGGATGTCCCCAAGAAGGTGGAGGAAATCCCYCAAAGGATTACTCGCAATCGCGCCAAGAACAATCCCTCCGCCATCCCTCCTACCTCCAGCATCATAACCTCATCAACTGCAGCTGCCGCCGCCGTGATGAACAGTCCAGTGGTGACTATTAACCCCATCCCGACAAGAACCCCCACGCCCATTTCAGTGTCTTCCTTGTCATCTCCAAAGAAAGAAAAAGACTCCGGGCTGAGCGTTTCCACTACCACACCTCCAGCGGTGAATGTACTGTCGTCTCTGCCCACGTCGGCAGTCGTGGGTAAGACGACAAAAGGCCGCCCCCTCTCTGTGGACGAAGAGGACTCGACCCAGCACCCACGCAAGAGGAAATTCCACCGCACCACRGGGCAGCAGGTCCAGGTCCAGCTGGTAAACACGGCCATGCAACAGACCAGGGAGATGATCCAACAGACCTTGGCTGTGGTTGTCAACGCCATCAAGCTGGACGAGATCGAGCCTTACCACAGCGACCGATCCAACCCTTACTTTGAGTATCTGCAGATCAGGAAGAAGATCGAGGAGAAGAGGAAGATTCTGTGCTACATTACCCCGCAGGCACCGCAGTGTTACGCCGAGTATGTGACCTACACCGGTTCTTACCTGCTGGATGGCAAGCCTCTCAGCAAACTTCATATCCCTGTGGTAAGTTACACCYCCTTTTTATGATCCTGTTTCATTAAAGACGATGTAAACAAGTTAAAAACAATGGGCCTCTTGCAAGAACATTTTCGTATTCTTATCCTAAATTRCTCTTACTTTTGTTCGTATGAAGGGTTCGTACAAACATGTCACATCGGATTCTACAAAATCTTCTATCTTCAGGAAAAGGGTGTAAATGAGCAGCGTAAACTGATGAAGGCGTATTGCATGTGCTTGCGCATGAGGAGAGGAGATAAGCATAATTACRACCCAAAAKACACCATATAAGGCAATGCTTCCTGCCCCAGATACATTTGGAGATTGAAGTCCTGCTCTCAGAGATCCCGAAAAAAAAATTCTGTCATTTTTAGCAGAGTCASCTGTGGAATTAAAGGAGCTAAAACCGAGGAATGAAATGTGCTGTTAATATCATGTCTCCTGTGGGTCGTACACAGTCACAGAAATAAAAATCTAAATCATATTCATATTTCTCTAGTACTGCTCCGGTTTTCCTTTGGTCAAATATTTTTCATTTAAGTATAAACAATTGTGTTACATCTTTCATTTATTCAGAAGAAGAGCAGTCGCGCACCCCACTCCCAACCGTTGCAAGTGTCGGATGCGGTTCTGAAAAAAAGCATTTTAAAATGTCTCCAAACTTCAATTAATGCATAATTTAACTTGGTTTTTAGTTTGAGATCTTCATATTAATATAGTAGTGTTATACAACAGCATTAATAGCCAATTTAATTTAATCTAACCAATTTATGTCGTTAGTTACATTTAAAATCTAATTCCAGTTCAAACAGAATGACCTATTGTCAACATAATTATGGAGTGTGATTTCTTTTCAACTCAAAATATCTTCAAACTAATGAAATATAAAGTTATAATGAGAAAAATCCATCTGGAAAACTGCAGACTGACTACACATAAAATATACGACAGGTCCACACATGAATTTTGTTCATATCTGAAGAAAATCTTACAATACGAGAAAATCGGTGAATGTTACAAATTCTCCTAAATCACTCGTATGCACAACGTAAGAACAAATCTGTTTGTACGAATGGTTCTTGCATGAGGCCCATTGAAGATGCAACAGTAAAGCTAACGCAGTTAGCATTGTGCCATGTCATGATAACTTTAGCTGTTATTTACACACATACTTTCTTCCGGGATCAGCAAAAAACTGTGAAAATGATTTAAAAACACTATTATTGTAGTATGATTCTAAAGACTAAAGTAATTCTTCCAGGAAAAATGACACCAAGCATCTACTCTGCTGCCTTAAATGGCAGTACAGATTAATAAAATCAATTTATTCTCCCATGTCTGTGATGTAATGCACCAAAAATAGATTATAACCCAGAGTCACCAAAGCATATCCAGAATTATAGCTCACTTTCTCCAGTTTTTCTTCCAATGAGAAAGACTTCTTTGTATTGGTCTGAGTGAGTGAAAAACAGCTATGGCCTAAAGAAAAATATGTTTGGAGCAATCCATTATGGGTCTGTGAGGTCTTTGTACACACAAACTTCAATATGTTTGTGTATTTACAAATCCCTCAGACATGAGGGTGTCATCAGCGAACACAACGCCCTGAGTGAACTTGTATTTTGCAAAGACATCATGAGAAATGGATCCACATAGACCTGACCTCATGTTGGGCAACACATGAGTTTAAAATAAAGCACAATGAGCATCCTGTGTGGAAGTTCTATAAAAGTCTGATTTTTAATAATGTTCTGGATTTTGGAGTTGAATAAAACAGATGAAGACAATGAATTTGTTTTTAGATATAAATGCTTACATCCTTGTGCTTTGTTCTTCAGATTGCTCCACCTCCATCTTTATCAGAACCTTTGAAGGAGCTCTTCAGGCAACAGGAGGCAGTGAGAGGCAAGCTCAGGCTGCAGCACAGCATAGAACGGGTAAGAAATATCATCTGAACATTTTTTACAAGGCTTTTTTTTATTCTCCAAAGTTCTTTCTCCTGGACTCACTCATTGCACACAGCGCCACACGTGACACTCCTTTGATGAAACATCAAAACCTTTTTTATATCAAAATTTGCACTCCAAGGTAGAAATGCAGACCCAAATTTTTGATTGTCGTAAATCATGATTTGTGGCATTAATCCTGTTTTTTTTTTTTTATGTCTAAAATGAGCCAGTAACTGATTGTTTATTTCCTCTCCATGTTGTTTGCTTTTTTTTTTTACAGGAGAAACTCATTGTTTCGTGTGAGCAGGAAGTTTTGCGGGTCCACTGCAGAGCAGCCAGGACGATAGCCAATCAGGCTGTGCCGTTCAGTGCCTGCACCATGCTGTTGGACTCTGAGGTGTACAACATGCCATCGGAGAGCCAGGTAGGAGACAAATGCTGAGGTTTATATATATATATG